CATGTACTTTCATTCGAAATTAAGGTCCCCTTAACAATGTTATCTCAGGAGATTCATCGAAACCAAGTTTTTCTTCATTAACTCTGGGCTAGCAATTATTCCGGCCCACCATCCCAAGCCAGTAAAAGAGGACATCAACTTAGCTCTGAAGATGAATAGGGTAAGAGATGCCCTTCTAGAGCGTAGGCTACTCCTTAACATTGTTCTCTGGGGCATCGCCAAAAACCCATGGCTGATTAAACGGGCAACTGAGTAAAATATTCGTGAAATTAGAGAAAAGTCTGAAATAAAAAATTTTAGACATCGCAGCTTGTTATCCCGACACACCAATCACTAGACAACATTGTCACTAATATCCTCCGGTAACAAGACAGGTGGGAATTTGAATGAAAGCCGGACATTTTCCCATTTGTGTTTGAGGTGTAGATGAAGCAAATATGCATTTTCTATAGCAATCGACTATATTACTTATTTTTCGGATATGAGTAGGTTTTCGAGACTACCAATTGAGCGTATATATGAGATGTATTTACTCTATTTTATCATATCTACAATTAATTGGTATTCTTAAAAGCCTACTTATAAATGATAAATAAGTAATTTAGTCGATTGTCATAACAAATACAATTTTGTCTCTTCGGCAATCCCACTACAGGACATGATATGGGAAAATGCCCGGGCTGCCTTTAAATTCCCATTTGCCCTGTGACACGAGGGAAGTCGTGGCAATGTTGCGGTTCGAGTCTGGCTGGGAACGCTGATGAAACCCGTTTAGGCCAGGTGGAAACTGCCTAAATAAGAGCACCATTTGAGAAAGCAAGGATATGTGAAATTACATGTAAAAATTAGGTCTACTCATATCATTTTGGCAAAATTCAGCCATCGCTCCCTTTGTCGCACTACACGAAATTGGTCGAATTCATTTCATCTGTATTTTTAAGAATAACAAAAGTCAAACAAAATAGTTGTTAAAAAGTTCGCACGTATTGGACGACTAAGCTATTATGGTTGCATACTAGAATATTACAAATAGTACAGCTCAACTGTCCCTTCTGACAGAACAGCCGATTTGCAATTTTGGAAAATGGAATTCTCAAGCTTACCAGAGTTGCACTACTTAGTAATATCATAAAGATGATATATCCTTCAAAGTAAGGGTGCTCGACGATGGCATAAGATCCGGACCGCATGGAATTCCAGGTGATCCATATCCTTCGACTACAGCGACTTAAAAGTCTACAAAATACCTGTTTTACGTTGGATGGCACATCTCGAGTGTAATCAGCTAATTGTAAAACTGAAGGCTCGAATGAGCGTTCTGCCGCAGTTGGGCTCTCTGAATGAGGGATGGATATGATTGATAGGGTCAGTAAACCGTGACAGTTGTTAATCAAGCTAAGAGTTCCATTCTCAGATGGAAGTTCCATCTTCATCGCAGGTTGACAGGGCAGACCGATCCGAATGGCCTCATAATTGGTCTCTTTCAAACAGGCCTCATTGCAACAGGTTGCCAGGCGACTGCTAGACGGCTCGGCCGGAGACTGGATAGAAGAGATAGTGAGCCGGCCTATTTTACACATCGGCATGTGCCAATGAGGTGAAAAGAGCCAGGACAGGGCTGACTGGCGTCCGGAATTTGCGAGGCCATTGAAAGTTTTTAATGTAATCCAATCGCCGAAAATGACTGTTGGTTGAACGAAACGTGTACTGAGATTATGACGATTGACGCCGGAGTTTGTCAAAGAGGACTGGTGCGTCCCGAGATTGGTGTTTGCTTGCCCTTTCCGAAGGGAAGACAGACAGACATCCCGAGTTTTGGTATGTTGAAGAAATGCTGGAGGAGCAACGAGAGTTTCATCTGAAAATTTGTTTAAATTTACAAAATATCAGAAAAAATAATGGGCTCTACTTGCATAGTAAATATCTGGCAAAAAATCCAATCGAAATGGCTATTTAGTCGTAGGCTTTCTTTCCAATGAACAGATTCACCGGGTTAGCTTCCCCAATCGTCTGTATGGCTATTTTAGGTGTTATCTTATTAAACAAGAAGTCTTTTAAACCATTCAAATTGCAACCTATCGCAACACCTATTCCTGGTTCGTTTGTCACCGAATAAGTACCGCTTGAAATTTAAGTGGAATAAGCCCCAATAATTCTGAATTAAATTTCATATAGCCTATGAAAAAGGCATTGAAAGCATATTACCAACAACATTAGTTCCTGCTATGAAGATTGAAATCCCATGCAGGAAGAATGCGATATCAGCTGTGTGAACTATGGAATTAGTCCACAAATCGAGCCAAGTTTACTAGAGCTTTTGACGTAAAGAAATGTAATTCCGAAGTTCGGATTTATGAAGAAAGGACAAGAAGTACTAGTAAATGCCGTCAAATAAGGCACTAAAAATTGTGTAATCTTCCTGCTAAGTATAAAATCATTGAGACAATGGTAACAAAGAGACAAAGAAAAACCAAAATGGACCATTTGGCGCACAAATGTGAGAGAGCAGGAGAAAATTGCTAACAAAAAATGGCATGATCCCCACGATGATAAGGTCAAACCTCAATTAATATTTTATTT